AATTAATAATAATAGATAAAATGGCAAAGACTAAAACTTTGAGACTAAAATTAATAATAATAGATAACATGGAAAAGACTAAAACTTTGAGACTAAAATTAATAATAACAAATAACATGGAAAAGACTAAAACTTTGAAACTAAAATTAATAATAATAGATAACATGGAAAAGACTAAAACTTTGAGACTAAAATTAATAATAATAGATAACATGGAAAAGACTAAAACTTTGAGACTAAAATTAATAATAATAGATAACATGGAAAAGACTAAAACTTTGAGACTAAAATTAATAATGATAAATAACATGGAAAAGACTAAAACTTTGAGACTAAAATTAATAATAATAGATAACATGGAAAAGACTAAAACTTTGAGACTAAAATTAATAATAATAGATAACATGGAAAAGACTAAAACTTTGAGACTAAAATTAATAATAATAGATAACATGGAAAAGACTAAAACTTTGAGACTAAAATTAATAATAATAGATAACATGGAAAAGACTAAAACTTTGAGACTAAAATTAATAATAATAGATAACATGGAAAAGACTAAAACTTTGAGACTAAAATTAATAATAATAGATAACATGGAAAAGACTAAAACTTTGAGACTAAAATTAATAATAATAGATAACATGGAAAAGACTAAAACTTTGAGACTAAAATTAATAATAATAGATAACATGGAAAAGACTAAAACTTTGAAACTAAAATTAATAATAATAGATAACATGGAAAAGACTAAAACTTTGAGACTAAAATTAATAATAATAAATAACATGGAAAAGACTAAAACTTTGAAACTAAAATTAATAATAATAGATAACATGGAAAAGACTAAAACTAAAATTAGTTGAAGTAATTTTAGTGATTTAAATTTTTTTTTTTTTTTTGGTTTTACTTTAAAAATTACTTTAAAAATTACTTGCATTAAAATATTAGTATATATTTAAAGTGTAAATATTTTTGTTTATAGTTTACGTAACATTAATGAGTTGTTCGAGTTGTTTGGATTGTTTTTTGTTTTTTACTTGGACTGTAGTTGGTCTAAATATTTATTGTGAACTACAGAGTACAAGTTTTATTGAGTAAAATAAAGCAAGCTGTTATTTTTATTTTTTCTTATTTCTTTTATCGTTTAATTTTGTTTTTTCTAATGTTTTATTAAGTTTTAGTAAGTTCAATGTCTTCTTTGACCATTAAAGCTGTATTTTTAACTAATTGTTTTAAGTATTTTATTTGCTAACTAAAACTTTCTTTATAGCTGTTTAGTTTTGTTTTAAAGCTTTGTTAAGCGCTTAAAAGAAAAGAGTTTGCTACAAGATATAGATTTTTATTAGTTCATTACAACTTTAAGACGCATAGTTTATACGTGTCATAATACCCCGTTATATATACATGTCATATTACCCCGTTCATACTTAAGATAAAACACGTTTTATTTTTAAAGCATATTAAATGTTTTTGTAAAAAAGTTGTATAGAATAACAAAAAACAACTTTAAGGTTGTTTTGTCATGATTTTTGACGTCAATATACGAGATTGTGTTAATATAAAACAATCTTGCCATATTGTTTTATTGCTGTTATATACAGTTTATAACGTTAAAAATATAAAACAAGTTTAAAAGAAAACGTGTTTTATCATTAGTATGAACGGGGTATAATTATATAACGCAGTACTTACAGGGGTGGATCCAGAATTTTTCGGTATTTGAGTTATATAACTTCCAGACAACTCCGAATTTTTGTATTTTCATTCTTTAGTCATTTTAAGATGATTTGCCGAAAATTGCGCTGATTAGTGGCCTGGTAGGCATCACCCGCCCAAATATGGGGGAATCAGTTTTTCTAAATATAAATTCTAATATCCTAAATTAGATGGTAATATCGTTAAGGTTCTAAATTTTTTTGAAAAATATCACGTTGTTTAGAAATTATACCCAGTTTAAATTTACGACCTCCTCGTTTTGAAGGGGCTCTAAACTTTAAATGGCTATACCTTTTGAACGCTAGATGATTTTTTGATCAAAATTTAAACATAGATACACATTTAATATTTATTAAAGCAACTTTTTTTGTTTCAAAAAATCTTTTCCCCCTCTCATTTGGGTGCGTGATGCCAACTATTTAGGGTAATTTTGTTCCCAGGCTCTATTCAACGCAGTTTTAGGTAAAGCATTCTTAAACGACATAAGTATGAGCAAAAAAAAGTTTGGAGTTTAGAACTTACCTGAATGTTACATAGCTCAAGCACCAAAAATTCCTGGATCCGCCCCTAACTTATTAAATGAACGCTGAACTTTGTAAAGAAACTTGATTGATTGTAGATGCAATACACATGCGTTTTTGTCTGTAAGAGAGTATTTAATGCTCAAATTCAGTTAGCTCAATTTAGATTTTTGTTAATGTTTATTTTCAAGTTTTAAATAAACTAATATTTATTTCTTGTCTTGCTTTGTACTTGGTCAATTCTCACATGTTTAAGAACATTTATTAAACTGTTTTTTAAAAATGACAAACATTTATTACAAGGTCATTTAAAAATCTCATGATGTGTTATACACTTTATTGTATAATTCATTTCTTTAGTTTTAGTTTTTTTTGTCATCTGTTAAAACATGGTTTAAATTTAGTAAATTTACATGTTCGTGTATCTATGCACAAACGATAAGAAACAAAATTATAAGTCGTGCGCTTTTTTTTTAAAACCAACCAATGAAAATAAGTCAGGCTGTGAAAATTAATGAAAGCAACGTTCAATAATTTTATTTTTGACAAAACAGCCTCTTTGACACATCTTATAACTTAAATTAATACTACAAGTCTTTTTAAATAAAATTGTTGAGAATATTTAGAAAGATATGTGTTTCTTTAAATTAACTTTTTTTATATTGTGGTTATAGTTTGTGCTTTTGTCATTACCAAGTGTAACTAGGTAAAGAAAAGAATTTTGCTTTTAGCTAAGTTTTTTTCTTTATTGAGCTATTAAAAATTTTTATAAAATTTTTATCAAAATTTAGAAATTTAAATTTATATGTTATTAAACTTTTTTAGGTTTTTCTTCCAGTTATTTTGTACGCTTTTTCCGATTTTTTAACCTGTTTTTCCAAACCACAAGTGAAAAAATGTATGTTTAATTTTTTTTTTTTAAAGCTTCAAAAGAATTGAAATATATTAAAAATTTATGTTCCGCAATTAAGTTTAAAATAGACACCTGTTGAAGATATAGTGTCTATTTTAAACTTAATTAACTGCAATTTAAATAAGATAATTTAAGGCAGAAATAAAATTAAAACCAAATAATTTCTAGATATAATATATAATCGAAGATATACAACATGGTACATAAATATACAACATGATGATGCAGTGTATCTTTAATGACGTCACAACGTGGAACGCTTGCATTCATAATCCTTTTGACGTCTATTCTACTAAAACCTGAAGTTCAGGAGTATTTTGTTCAATATTCTTATTATTAACTTTGATTAAAAATTTAAAACTTTGTTAAAAAAGGCATATAAAAGCCCCCTCTTATTTGCTTTCTTTAGCCAAGGTTTCAATTTTTAGCTCTTCTGCAAAACTTTCTATAGAGCAACCACTTTATAGAAAGTTGCAGACAAAGCACAGTGCGTGTATTGCAGAACCGTATAAAAAAATTTATTTTAAAAAACATATTTAAAAACTTGATAAAAGAAAATTATTTTAAAAAAAGTAACTTTCATCTTTTTCGACTTTTTATTTGGGTTTATCAACAAAATGTTTTAGTTATTTTTTTAATCTCACTGAAATCTCACGCAGATCTCAATGGAATCTCACAAAGATTGTGGCTAAGATTAGGATTAGGATTAAAACTTTCCTCTAGAAGTCACTTCAAAGTTAAAACTTTTGCTAAGATCAAAAAATTTCTTACTAATATTTCTCATTATATTAAAAATGTCTTTAAATGTATTTTTAGAATGTTTAAAGATGTATTTAAAAAAGCTGCTTAATAAATAAAATAAACAAACATTTTACAATTAAAAAAACAGTTAATTAAGTAAAAAATTATAAGTAATTATTAGTAACTCATAGGTAGTTCGAGGACTCAAAGTTTAAAGTTTTTTTAAAAATTTAGTCCTTTTTTTTTCATCAAACAGTTTTTTTCATCTATTTTTTTTTATAAAACTACAAATTAATTTCAAATTTTAACAATATTTAACAGTTTAAATTTTATTAAAATTTAAATATTTAACAGTTTTACTATAAATGCATCTTAAAGACACTTATAATATAAAAAAAATTTGTATAAACATTTTTATTCAAACTTTTTTAGTTAACTGCTCGTTATATTAACCAATATAGACGTGTTCAAAAGCATAAAACAAAGTTACATATATATGCATGTATGTATACTTTAATATGATAAAATACAAATATAAATTGAGTAATTTTTTTTCCTTTTATTTCCATTATATTTAAATTTTTAGTTTGTAATTATTATAATAGAAAGCTTCAATCTTTTGTTACCAGTCTTCGAAGCTTCAAATTTGAACAGGTCTTGTATTTAGACATTTATTTGGCGACAAATAAATTATAACACGTCTTTTGGACATAAAGACTGTCATATATGTAATGAAGTATTCTTTTTTTTTTGCAAAAATGTTGTATATAGTATAAGAAATATGTATTTTTTTAAAATAAAACTATATAAGCTCTTTAAATTTTGTATTTTCGTATTTTCATATATGTGTGCGCATAAATATATATATATATATATATATATATATATATATATATATATATATATATATATATATATATAAATATATATATATATATATATATATATATATATATATATATATATATATATATATATATATCCTATAAATTTTATCACACCTCTAAATTTTTGAGAAAACTTTTCTTATAAAGTATGATTCAACTGATTTTTTTTATTTTGATTTAGAAAATTTGTTTCTTGTCTTCTAAGAATAAATATTCCGAGAATAGTTACTGTCTAGCAGAAACATTGTTTACATTTGGTTGTGTAACACCAAACTGATAGATTGAGCACGTGTTGCAGCTATTCTTGTCAAAACTCAAAGATAAACCAAGGAGTAAACAAAAAAGTTTAATAGATTCATATTTGTTATTTAATAAAAATTTTTGTTTAATGAAATTTACAACTTCTGTTTAAAATAAATTTTCTTCATCTTTTACAATGAACATGAAATTAAAAATTTAAAGCCACCATATTTTTTTAGTTTTGTTTTTAAAAGTTGCAATCAAATTGTTTATTGTAATTTTTAGGTTTTTTACTAAACACTTTTACTGTCATGTTCTTTCAAATACTTGGAGTATTAAATGTTAAGTAGAGGTAATTTAATTTTTGATGGGCGCATTTTATTATTTATAATGCATAAATTTATTAATGATACAATTATTATGATTACTGTTATTTTTATTACGCATAGATACTATATAAATTTATTGTTTCAATATTCTTTATTATATATATATATATATATATATATATATATATATATATATATATATATATATATATATATATATATATATATATATATATATATATATATATATATATATATATATATATATATATGTTTATATATATATATATGTTTATATAGTATATATATATATATAAGTATATATGTTATATATATATATAAGTATGTTTATATATATATATAAGTATATATATATATACATATATATATATATATATATATATATATATATATATATATATATATATATATATATATATATATATATATATAAGTATATATATATATATACATATATATATATATATATATATATATATATATATATATATATATATATATATATATGTATATATATATATAAATATATATATATATATACATATATATATATATATATATATATATATATATATATATATATATATATATATATATATATATATATATATATATATAAATTTATAAAATAAAATTGATACTGCAAAATAAATACAACTTCAACACATTGTTGTATGAAGTTTATTTTTATCCATACTGTTGATTAAACAGATGTAAACCAATCCAGAGACAGCAATGATACCCAAAGTTGCCACAGAGACGCCGTTGATACCTAAAACAGAAGTCTGTTAAATACGTCGAAACAGCATTTAATCTCCTTAGTGAACAGAAAATTTTATATTTTTCTGTCAGGGATATAGATCCAGACATTTTTTATTTAACGATTAAATTAAACTTTTAAATCGCGGTTAAGTCTTAAGATGTTTAAAATTAGGTTTGGTACAAACATTTTTTAGAATATAAAAATATTTAAAAATTATTAAATATATGTAAAATTTTGTTGTTACACTTTTTGACAAAAAATTGATAGTTTGTTGCGCTAATGTTTTTTAAAACATTTTTTTCCAGTTTTGTTTCTTTCTTTTAGCTTTTAGCTAATACACAATATTTAAACCTTCAAATGATGCAAACTTCTTTTTTATGCCACGAATGCAAAAGTCCAATCTTAGATAGCTTCTTGTTAAATATTGGTGGCAATGAATACTGGCATGAATGTTGCCTAAAATGCCACGAATGTTGTGAAAAACTTTTCCGAGTATGTTACAAAAAAGATGGTGGTGTATACTGCAAGTACGATTATAAACGGTTAGTTTTTTTTTTTGTAACATTTACAAGTTTTCATTTTCTTTTTTTTAGAAACTCAAAATGATATTTAAATAAAAAAATGACTTGCCAAGACAGTTCCTTTAAATATAGAAACTATTAATTTTTGTTTTTGTTTTTCTGAATTTATATTAAATAAGTTATATTAAATTAGTTTAATTGAAAGTATAAATTGACCACTTTACGTTAGATATGCAGAGCCATGGATATGTAATTGCCAAACATTTTAGTAGTTTGTAAAGGTTTTTTAACAAACAAAATGACGTCATAAATAAATGTATATCAAGCAATTGGTGCGATGATTTTATAAAATGAATAACGCAAATCAATTTACGAGTCGTTTACTAAATTACGTTATACAATTTTTTTTAATAAAAATTAGCTTAGGTTATACTTGTTGTTTGAAAATTAGCTGCATAACAATAAAACATAATTTCTCTCCAAAATGGTTGTTAGAGTAAATATTGTTTAGCATAAACTTTTTGCCCCCAAAATTTTTCGTATAAAAGTTTCCCGTTATATTTTATCATTAAAGAAAAAATTTCTGTTTGGAAACGACAAATTTTAAAAAAATTAGTGAAATTTTCAATGAATTGCTTTGTAAAGGCAATCATGGCGATCATGATGAAAATAACAACGATCAGATTTTAATGACGATGGCAATGGTATATGCAACGGCGGTCGTATAATAAAACATTGTCTTTCTAAAACATTGAGCGAGGGGTGGGAAAAAATTTTTTAGAGGCAGTATGACTGTTTTAAAATGTTTTAAACTGGTAACAAAAAAAAGTAAATGCAAAAATTATACGGCTTTACAAAAAGATTTAAAAACGATTAGAGGGTTGCAACTTTTCACATTAAAATATAAATAAATGGATTAACGTATAGCAAAAAATTAATTATTGGCTCAACAAAAAATAATATCCAGTGAAAAAATGTGTATTGTAACGTTTCTGGTAATTTTTTTTTTTTGATAGTAATTACATTATTAAAACCATAATTAATTGCTTAATAGCTTTAAAGCACCGACGAATTTTTTTGATATTGCTCACGAGTGTCATTTATAAAACTTTGAAACTAATTTTAAAAATCTGATGGTATTAATATATTAGGTAGTTACAAAAGAGAGAAAAATAAAGAAATAGTCAGAAAAAAACAAACAAAAAATCCGGCAATATTCAAATAAAATTATTTATATGAAATCGTTCAATAGATTTTACGCGACAGGACGATTACAAGAGATTTTACCTAGAAGGTAAAGCTGCCAATGTTTTGAGCTATAATCGATTGCTTGATTTTTTATCAAAATTATAAAAAAATATTTTGCTTTGTTTCTCTTTTTTAAATAGAGAATAGGTTTATCTCATATTTAATCTGTTTTAAAAGACTTATGTCAGAAAAGATATTAAACAAATGATATATATTAGAAAAAAAAAAAAACACTTTTTTTAAACTTTCTTTTAAATTTTTTTTTTTACAAAAGAAAGCAAACCATTGTCATATAAGTATGATGACCGAATGACCAATTTTCATATAAGTATAATGGAAAAGTTTGGAAAGATTTGCCAATTTACAATTTTCCCAACTTTTCAAAAAAATTTCTAAATTGAAATAAATCTTTATTTACTTGTATATCAAAAGTAGATATAATAAATAAAATAATAAAACCTAAAGAAAATTTAGACAAATGTTGTATTAAACAAATATTATTGAGAAAGTATACAATAATATAATATAAAATATAGATATAAAAAAAAGAATGTAAAGTTTTGAAATAGAATGTAAAGTTTTGTAGAAATATCAGCCAAAAAAAATCTTCATTAAAATACGTGATAAAAACAATTTTAAATTGCAAATTAAAATTTATTTAAAAACAATGTTAAATTGCAAATTAAATTTGCTATAAAAAAAAAAAAGATAAGTAAGAATAGGAAAAATATAATAGATAATAATAGATAAAAAAAAAGGAACATGTATGATTTTAAACAGATATTATCAAATTGCGTATACGCAACTATAGACATAACTCGCATCCTATAAATTGCAAATAAAAATGGTAAAGACGTTAAAGGAAGAGCAAATAAAAGATGTTATTGACCAAATACACAAATGAATTTAAATTAAAAATTTTTATAGCCCCAATTTCTGACGTCTTTATAAATGATATCAAAATTGTTTCATAGAAATGCAATTACCATAAAAATATGCCACTACAAATTTGCAAGTGTAAACTTCAAATAATTATTCAAAACTATTTATATCATATAGTTGCGCAATACAGTTTAAATTGAACTCAAAAACAACAAAATGAACATTTGCAAAATCTTAGTTTTTGCATAATTTATTTAAATTAGATTTTATTTATTTTTCTTTTTTAATTTAGACTTTAGTTCATGCTTTTTTAAAATTTTAGCTTATTTGGTATAAAATGTGTGGCGTGTAACAACATCATTACACCCAATTCAATTGCCATGAAAGTGCTTGATACGAACTTGTTTCACATAGATTGTTTCAAGTGTCAAAATTGTGGGAAAATGTTAGAAAAAGGCGAAGAGTATGCTTTTAAAAATCAAAAACTTTTATGTAAAGCTGATTTTAATACGGAGCATATTTGTGATAATGACGAAACAAAACATGATGGTGACGACATGAAACATGATGGTGACGACATAAAACATGATGGTTAGTAGTTTTGTCTAGGTTTACACATGCGCAGAAAAACGCATATATGAAGAAAAATGAGAGTAAAAATAACCTCAAATCGCGTCTATTTTTAAATTATCTATTATTGATGCTACGCAATGTAAAAACTTTATATTAGCCTTTGCTAGCCTTAATTTGACTGAAATGGTATACGACTCGTATGATCCAAAAAAAAAATTACAAACTAATAGATTTAATTAATAATGACGCAAAAACTTATTTAAGGGTGGTGCTTAAACAATGGGAGGCGCTTATCTTTAAACGCGTCGACTACTACTTAAAAATAAAATGGCCAAGCATTTAGTTTATTTAAAAATGTCACGTGTATCGTCGCCTTAAAGATCTAGTTGATTTCTTCCCCGTTTTATTAAATAAGCCTTTCATATATCTTTAACGTTTTGTTAATTTTTCGGCGTCGATCAGGTTTAATAGATTTAACTTTTTTTTTTTATTTTTTAAAACTTGAGAAAAGGTTTTTGTGTCATTTTGTAAAAGTTATTACTTTTCACAAATCCCCATTTTGAAAGTTTTAAAAATAAAGGATAGTTATGGTTAAAATTTCCTTTCTTTTTGTTAGCTGACGTATTTAGTAGCAGCGATGATTCAGATAGCATGTCAACTACAAGCCCATCTAGTTACGAGAAAAACAGTGGTTATAAAAGACCGAGAACAATTTTAACTACACAGCAAAGACAAAACTTTAAAACAGCTTTTGAGCAAGCTCCAAAACCTTGCCGTAAGGTAAGTTTGTATTTTTAAAATTTTATATTCAAAAGTATTTATAGATTAAAACAAAAAAGTATTTATAGATTAGACTGGAGTATGAAACACCCACTACAAGTGATTAATAGTTTTATCCACAAATATATTTCCGTAGATTCAAAGCTAAAAAGCTCCGACTTTAAAATTATTTATCGAGGTAACCAAGCATTTAATTGCTAACCAAAGCTCCCGTCTTTACTTGTATTTTGACGTTCAATGCATGTTAGAACTAGACTGTGTCCATTACCACCAACTAATGTTTAAAATAGACAACTGTCAGACATAAAGAAAACTTGGGTGTGTCTATACTTGTATCAAATACCCAGTAAGCACAGATCGTTTTTAAAACGTTTAAAAAATGTTAATATTTGTTTTAACAAGTTTTTTAAACGTTTTAAAAACGTCCTGTGCTTACTGGGTAAGAGTTCTTTTTAAATAATTGCTGTGATTGGAAACTGGGAACAATATAAGCCCTTAACACTTGGGTCCCTCTAACCCGAGGGGTGAGGGCTAAAATTTGTTTTAAGTATAGAATTTAGAGTTTTAAGCTAGTAATATTCTAAAATTATTTTTTTTAAATCTAAAATCCATTAAAAGATTCCAAATTTTTTAAATTAAAAAGTTTCAAACTTTGTCAATTATTATTCAAATGATCAAAAGTTTGAACTCCATGTCTGAAAGTTTTTAAATATCAAAAAGTTTTTTCGCAATTCGTGGGCAACCAGTTATTTGAAGTGTTTGTAAATACAGGGTTTGTCAAACGCTAAATGTCAAATTGGCAGCTTCTATACTAAAAAATAGTGCAGCAACAAGATTGCATGTTTGACCCATGCCAGCCATGCATATACAACTACAGGGTTTTATTTTAACGATTTTTTCCAACACCAACCACAGTTTATTAAATATATGATTGTTAGATGGCAATCTTCAATATTTTGATTTCAAAATACAATAATTACTAATTGTTAAATTATGATACTTAAGCCAATCAGATGTTTAACAGCTGCCTCCTTTTGATTTATTTTATCATTCAAGTGTTTACTTTAAATTCTGATAAGTTAAACATTAAATAGTTAGAATTATAACACCATTAATTGAAGTTAATAGATATAAAAACATTAATTGAAATAAAACTTTGTCCATTCAGCCATGAAATAATTTAAACGTATCACGTGTATGTTTATAATCTAATTTTAGTCTTAAAAGATTTTCTTAACATCTACAGTTTTTTTTATAGGAAGAACATTTTTTTATATTGAAGCAAATACACAAGCAACTAAATCATTTTATGTTGTTTACCTTTAATTTCTTAATTTCAAATATTTTTTCATAGCGCTGCTTTTAGTCCCTTGTGACCAATAAATTAGAAAGTGGCATTAGCCGCTAGCTACTTAACTTATTTTTAAATAAGCTAATTGCTTGTTGGAGCAGGAGCAGGGTGATAAGATGCCTTTTACTTGCTCCTGTCAGAATATAAAGATTTAATTTTTAATTTTTACAAAAAACATTGTAAAATGATTGTTTATTGACGAAATATATATTTATAATCATAATAAAAAGGTTGATTTAGAAAACGTCGAATAAAATATTTTAGATCGCTATGTTTATTGCAATGGAGCAGCTCAAGGTCATAGAGTAGGTCAAGCAAAAGTAAACTTTTGCTTTTTATCACTATCTTTGATATATTCGACGAAGTTGCGGTAATGGAGGCGTTCATTTGCAAAAAACGTGTCAATATCGTTAAGATATTGATAGATCCCTAAGCAGGCAGTATGATAGTTTAAGCATATTTAGACAATTTTTTTTTTTTTTTTGACATCTCTAATATCAATATGAAGAATCTCGAATTTCTTATTTTGCCAAATCTCTTTAATACAGTGCTCTAAATAACATTCACAGTTGTATTAACAGTTCCATTAAATTTGGGTTAAAGAATTCCATAATTTTACAACACGGTTGGTGAAGATTTTGTTTCTTTCAGCGCAGTTTTGGACAAGTTGTATTTTTAGTTGTTTAGTGTGTCCAAGCGGTCGAGAACTGTACTTTGAAGATTCCGTGTTTTGTAGAAGTTAAGGGACCTGAAAATTACCTTTTTGCTCATGATTTTATATTGCTCGATAAGGTCTCCTCTTTCTCCACTCGCTTTTGCATTGGTTTCTGGAATCTGAGTACCGTCTTGATTTAGTGTTATTAGGGCTTTCTATCAGGTAAAAATAAAAAAATAAATTCATAGTATAAAATATGTTCAACAATTAGATTAGAAAAAGACATAAAGATAGAAAAAAAACTGTATTTGAATTTATTATACCATAAATTGGGCGTAGCCCTCATATAGAGCTTTCAAAGCTTCCGCACGCTAATCAGCGCGTTTATGACAGAATTTTTGGAGTTCTCAATACAAATACTTGAATACATTTCATTGTCAAGTTGACAAAAGCAAGAAATTGTAAAGTTGCTGTAAAACACCAAACAAGATTACTCCTATGTGGCAAAATTTAGCGGCACTCAACCCAACAATGTTCAAGAAATGAGCAGCTTGATGGTCCCACTAACCACGAGTGACTAGTGGGGAACTCAATGAGGGTTACTCTTCATCCACGGTCATGAGTGAGCAGTGGAGATGTAATTAGGAAGTGGGTTTTTTCTTTAATTTTTGCATGAAGTCCTATTTTTAATACAACTTTTGTATAAAGTTTGTACTTGTATAAAGTATAAAACAAAGTGTGTACACTTTATTTATGATAAAAAAGAATTGTAAATTTATAAGTTACCTGATAGAAAGAAACTTTTTTCCAAAGTTATAATGCAAAACACCTTTTTCTGATATTATTTAATTGCAGTCGATCCTGGACTTACGTTCGAGAAATCAAGTTAGCAATCACTCGGTTGTGTTTTGATAATTGTCTATGATAGCAGAACATTGACTAAGCATATTTTATCTCCTGCGTCCACCTATACATATATGAAACGGCTTTTATTACTATTTTTGGAACGGTAAATCAATCCTGCAATTTCTTTTCTCCATTTATTTGAAAAAATTTGTTTTATAACTTATCAATACTAAGTCTACAAACTCAGTAGTGTTACGATTTTAGTCCGCAGGATTATTCAATAGCTCGAATGCGTCGCATCAGGTTCATCAACTAATCATCATTTACTGGTTATAAAACTAAATTCTAAGTCCTTCTGCTTAAAAAGTTTATTAACTTTGTTTTCTGCGGAACTGACTAATGCTCTAGTGACTAGTGCTCAGACTTTTTTTTGCTCATTTTCCAGCTCTAATTGTTAAAACATTTATTAATATAACTTTAATGAAGTAAATTTTTAAGATTTGTAAAAAAAGTTTGCTTCTGGCAATTTGACTTTAAAAAACCTCACGTAAGAATATGTTCTTTTTTTTCTGTTTCTGTGTGGCGTGCACTATCTAAATTTTTATTTTGCTCATAATGGTTTTATGTACAACTGTGCAAGCTTAGAAATTGAAAAAAAGTTAAACCAATTATTAATTAAAAAAAACTAATAAAATTAAATCAATCAAAAAAAAAATAATAATAACAACAATTCTAAGTAAAAACTAAAACAGGATTTTTATATAAATATTTATTTACTGTGTTTACTTAAAAATTAAATAGATTGTTATCTCTCTATTTACTTACGTAAATATAAACAGCATAAGTTAATAAATAGATATAAAACCATAATTGTGATAGGTTATAAAAACAAAAATAAATAGCAAAAGATATTAAAAATTAATGTTATCTAGGTTAACTAAAAAAATTAATTGCCTCATTGCCATCAAATGCACTCAAAAAAAAAAAAAAAACTCAAAAAAAAACTCAAAAAAAAAAAGTACCGGTTTTTATCAGCATCATAAAACTATTAAATTAAATTTCGTCATAAAAATGAATTTAAAAGGGGTATTAAAAGTAAAAGCATCTTTAGACATTTTGCTATAAAGTTTGGCTGTCTTTAATCAGGGACGCGGAATCCCAAAAGGATACCGGCTTTAAACTTTATATTTTTGGTCTCTGATGTGATCTGCATTATAGAAAAAATTCATGAGATAAAATGACTTGGAACCTGTTGTTATTTAGCCCGAAGTTCTGCAGCCTTTGCCCCCATCATACATAAAGACTTCAGGCCGAAATTGGTTGTTCCTTTAATCTACAAGTTTTAATTTTTTCACCAAAAAATTTCCCGAAAGCCTTTTTACATTTTTAGTGCTTCTGAATTTCAAAAACTATAAAAATAATTATTATGTAACTTCAAAGAACAGTTAAAGGTATGACATCTATACTTTTAACTGTTCTTCTACTTGCACATAACATTCAATCCATGTTAAATGCTTTTCTCTTGCACATAACATTCAATCCGAGTTAACTGTTCTTCTGCTTGCACATAACATTCAATCCATGTTAATTGTTCTTCTACTTAAACATAACATTCAATCCATGTTAAATGCTTTTCTCTTGCACATAACATTCAATCCATCTTAAATGCTTTTCTCTTGCACATTCAACGTTAAACTTCAACAATCATCTAACCTTCAATATAAACAATAATTTATAAATAATGTTTTTGAGTAAAAGTTTTTGTTTTTGTCTCTAACAGTAATTACAATTATTGTATATTTATTTAACAGTAAAACAAATTTAATAAACCGACAAACTTTTTTAACATATTTTTTTATACTCTCGACTGTGTACTTTTGAATTTATTTATTTTTTATTTGAATTAGTTACACTTTTAGTCAAGCCCATTTTGGCACGCTAGTCGCCCCTAAAATGTCATGGTCTCTAGACAAAATCCCTGGTGATCATGAGTAAAAGACATTCATTTTTCAAATAATCAATATTTTTCTTCGAAATCATATCATACTTCGTGTTTTATTTTATAGTAAATGTATGTTTAATAAGTTTTATTTTATAGTAAATGTAAGTGCTTAAATGTTAATACTTCGTTTTCTTAAGTTAATAGATTATTGTTTACAGAAGTTCACGTCTTTTTATATTATATACCTTTTACACAATAACGAAATTGAAGTTCGCTCAATTGGTACACCGCGGTGTAACTGGTTTAAGTATTACTAGTACGCTAGCCATTCCTTATAGCATAACTTAGATAATTTAACACGGGAAAAACCGCATGCTCTTGGTATTTAAGATGATTTAAAAATATCATAGCGTCTGTATGAAATTTTGTTGACTACTCCATATTTCCGTTAAATGATCAGGTCTGTGAATTATCGGGAAATAAATATGGGGATCGCCCATATATTACGCAACGTAAAATTAAACTAAAAGACAAAACAAAAAAGATCATAAGTTTTCCCAAGTCTTTAATTAAACCAAAAACAAAAACAGCTCTTAAAATCTAATGAAAATTACCGCGCAAAGGAGCAAACAATCTCCTACTTCTTTTTTTTTAATAAGTTAAGCGTTGCGTTCATCCCTTTTTCAATTTCGCCGTTTTATAAGCTTTTCGAGGTTTAAGTTCTGCATTATGGCGCACACTGTATATTTCGTACGTTCGCCCACACCTAGAATTCGCAGTACAAGCTGTTTTTAGCTCAAGACATAGCGAAACTTGAGCACGTTCAACACCAAGCCACAAACATACTGCCACCCTAAAACACCTTCCGTATACTCAAAGACTATCAAGCCTTGACCTGACAACACTAAATGAACGACGAGAAAGAGGAGACTTTATTGAGCAATATAAAATCATGAGCAAAAAGGTAATTTTCAGGTCCCTTAACTTCTACAAAACACGGAATCTTCAAAGTACAGTTTTCGACCGCTTGGACACACTAAACAACTAAAAATACAACTTGTCCGAAACTGCGCTGAAAGAAACAAAATCTTCACCAACCGTGTTGTAAAATTATGGAATTCTTTAACCCAAAATGCGGTGGACGGAAAGAACTTGAACAATTTCGAACTTTCTCTGCTCCGGCATCTTCACTTAAGCTGAAATTGAAAAACTGTATTTTGATAACAGAGAAGCCTGGTGTGCCGCTCATTGTCAACAATTTGTTAACTTTTATTTGGCCATTAATAAACCAAACCAATAAAATAAAAATGTTTGGAGCAAAAAAATCCAGACAGGAATAGACTAGAACTAAGATCTGTAATAGGTTAACGTACTAAGATCTGTGGTGGGTTTTTATACTATTTCAAAAGATTTTAACTAAAATTAAGTTAACGCGATGGGTTAACGTACTTTTTCAATAGATTTCATCAAAAATCAAGTTGTTTGAGAAAAATGATTTAAAGACTCAGAAATGGTGTTCTTTATTTTCGCTATTAAGGGTAGTAAAAAAAGTTTAAAAATTATATAAAAAATAGAAAAGTTGAGGTTAATAATATCTTTTTTTGCCTGAGGTTTTTATAGAATTCTTTGAATTCTGTAAAAACCTCAGGCAAAAAAAGATTATAAAACTAAAATTCTTGTTTTGGGCATAATACGATAATAAAATCGTTGTAATTTTAAATAAAAGAATTCAAATAATTTATAAATTGTCTTAACTACATAGAGTGGTCACACTTAAAAAATTTTGAAAATATAGTTATATCTATAAATTGATCATTCATAAAAATCTTAAGAAGAAATTTTTTTTTTATAGAAAACTATAAAAATGTTATTATAAATTAAACTTGAAATGAAACAAAACTTGGTAAATGTAACTATGCCGTTTTTTCCCGATGTTTATTTAATATAATACTTTTGTAAACACTTTTTAATTGTTAAATTCCTCATCAAGGCATGTTGTTACTACGCAACCGGGTTAATAGGTTTAAAACTAATAAAATAAATAACAAGTATATCAATATCAATATAGAATAATATACCTCAATAACTCACAACATTTGTTGATCTCATGCTTTTGTTTGTATAAAGTTAACAAATATGTACATTACTTGATACAAGATCTCTAAATGCTAACAACAACAATACAAACAATATGAAACATCTTTGCAATGGTATACTGCTGGATAATGCAATAAAATGTATTGGGTGTAAATACATAATATACAATAGTAAAAACTTTTACGCTCGAAAACTTAAAAAATATTGACTAGCAATAAAAATATAAAGCACTAAGCAATAAGCAATAAAAAAAGTTAATTAAATTTTTTAAAAGAAAAAGCCAAATACCTTTAAAGCATTTAGGTGTTACTAGCAATAACATCTTGATCTAATGATCTAATACCCTTAATTATTCAACATAAACTCAAATAATTTAATCTATTAAATAATCTATTGAAAAATAATTGGATCAATTTGTTTAAGTTCTTACAGCTTTATTTTCCAAAAATTTAATATTATGATAACTGTAATAAATATAATAATTATTGCATTTTTAATATTTTATCTCCAGTGGTTAATACAAAACGATCTGTCTAAGAAAAAATGAGTATTCAAGAAAACCTGAAATTAGATTTTTTTTTGTCACTGAAAAAATAAAATGAAAGTTATTGCACATATATTTAAAAGAATTTTTATGAAAGTAGTTTACTCTGATCCTTCTGTTACTCTGATCCTTCTGTTATTTGTGTTCTAAACAATACACTGAGTTTTCAAAGTTAGGTTATAAAAATATATTTAGGGGTCGCACAAAACCCGTGAACATTAGACAGGTTACTTATTTTACCAAAAAATATTTCTTAAAAGTATTGAAGACATTTTTAAATTAAAAATTATTTCTTAAAAGTATTAGAAGATATTTTTAAAATAAAAAATAACTCTGAAAAGACATATTTTTGTTTGGTCTTAAAAGAATAAAAATTTGTAAAATAATTTTTGTTTAAAACACTAATAGAAAATTTATTTATATGATTTTTTGATATTTTTAAATATTTTTGCTTCTTTTGAGACTTAGGTTAATGTACTAATAAAAAAATATTTTATGGATAATAATAGGAGCCAGTTTGATGCTTATGGTTATGGTTTTTGGGTTTCTCCTAAAAATAATTAAGTTGTCTAAAATACAATATTTTAGAAAACTATTTTTTAAATTTATTTTTATAATTGTTTATGAATGAGAACTTTATCCTAATTAGGAATTGTAAAAATTAAAATATAATAGAAAATATTTTTTAAAATGTCAGTATTTTTATTTCCAATTAATTGATTAAAAAAGAAATCAAAAAAATACAACAAAATACCAGTATTTGTTATATAACCCATAAAAGAGATGAATAAATATTTAGTACAAAGGTTTTTTAATTGATTGTTTTCCTTTACCCAAACTTCATGCGTGTTCATATATGCTTTTTTTTGTATTAACATTGACTGAAAGCATATACTTTCTAAAAACGTAAGACATATTTTTTAAAAATTTATGCCTTAAGTTAAATTTCAATTTTTAGAGACTAGACTGAGACAGAAAAACTTTTTTTCATTAATAATAATAATATTAATTAACAATGATCGTAATAGATTAATAACAATAAACTTTTTAAGTTAAAAGTTAAGATTAATAACAAAAGGTGTTTAACTAATAAATTTGTTGATATCTTTAAGAGAACATTCATTAATTCTTTATTATCTTTTTCACTTAATAAAGGTCAAATTTGATATTGGTTTGAAATCTAATTTGCTATTGGTTTGAGATCAAATTTGATATTGGTTTGATATTGTTGTGATTTTTAGATAAAAGATTATCTGCGAAATTATTTGTGTAACGCTTAATAGGAGTTAACTTTATGTTGTGAGCAATTTTATGTTCACGATTATTGTGCATAAGGATTTTTTACTGGTAGATCCTCATTGTGGATCCATCAGTAGTTGTGGTTTCAAAATTACTTCTAAAAACTGGTATACCTACAATTAGTAACCATTAAACGAATAATTTAGTATACGTGTATTACTTCAATATTACCAAATTTATAAATAACAAAGTTTTAATTCTCCTATAAGGTTTTTTTATTTTTATTAGATACGTGAAAAACTATCCAAAGAAACCGGTCTAAGTGTTCGTGTTGTTCAAGTTTGGTTTCAAAATCAAAGAGCAAAGGTGAGTTTTGTATATATTTTTTCAAAATAAAAAAAAATAAAATTAATTATTTGTAATTATTAATTTTTAAACTTAGTTTGTATAATCTTTAAATATACAAATGTATACTGCAAAAAAGTTCTGTCACTTAAGCCTTGAATTTTCATATCTCAGGCATGAATAAATGTTTTTTTAACTTTTTTTTCTAAATTATATAAACAATTTTATTGTTAACTATATTGTAAAATAAGGAAAATAAAAACAAGCATTATATATTTTACTTCAAATGAGAAAAAGTTTGACCGAACTTTCAATAGCATCTCATAAGTTCGGTCACTATAATACATTTCTATCAACACATCACAATATTACAAATTTAACATAAAAAAAAACCTTTAAGCTAAAAATCAAACATTTTTTTAAGCAAACATATTTATTTAGATAAAAATATAATAATGTTAAGCTTTTATCATTATTTTTAGAACTTGCTTATTTGAAGTCTAAATGCAATATTTTCAATATTTTACAGTTTACAAGCGAATAATTTTAGTGCAATTAAAAATTTTATTTTTTAATTGGTTCACTTATACTGAAGTATTTCACAAATTTTTTTTCAAAAAAATTTTTAACAATCAACCTTTCACGACATTCCCGCTAATTGTTGTTTTTATCGTTTACTAACTGGTTGCCCAAAATTTAACCAAGTGGGTACGCGTCTGATTTCGACCAAAAAGTGTACTTAATATTTAAAAATCAAAAATTTTTTTTTTTGGTAACATATAACTTGGTTACTCTTAGTAATCCTAGGGCTAAATTTGATCATTTTATCCAACACTTAGGACCAACACTTAGCATCTACTTATTTTAGGTTTCAATAGAAATTATCTTAGAGTGCATAATTTCAATAGAAATTATCTTAGAGTGCATAATTTCAATAGAAATTATCTTAGAGTGCATAATTTCAATAGAAATTATCTTAGAGTGCATAATTTCAATAGAAATTATCTTAGAGTGCATAATTTTAAAACTCTTGTTTTGCAAACGAATTATTTAAGCAGATTTTAAAAAAACATTATTGTCTTTTTTTCATTCTTAAACACAAAGTCCAACAAATATTATCGGAGATAAAAAAGTTAGTAAAAATTGAAATTTTGCATGGATTTTTGCTATTTATTCTTAAATGAACGAAGTAACATGGTGAGCAAATTTGTGTGTTTGAGTGTGTGAATGCGTGTTATGTTTTTTTTTTTATTTTTATTTTTAGTGTCATAGTGATTTTAATTTACAATCTGTAACTTATTTAAAATAATAAAATTAAAAAAAAAAAGTTTTAAATTTTATACGAAAATAAAGAAAATAGAATTAAAAAAAAAAAAAATCATGTAAAATTAAAAAGTAAAAATAATCAAGTTGAGACTTAAAAACTTCAACTACTGGTAGAAACTTAAACTTCAACTACTGGTAGAAACTTAAACTTCAACTACTGGTAGAAACTTAAACTTCAACTACTGGTAGAAACTTAAACTTCAACTACTGGTAGAAACTTAAACTTCAACTACTGGTAGAAACTTAAACTTCAACTACTGGTAGAAACTTAAACTTCAACTACTGGTAGAAACTTAAACTTCAACTACTGGTAGAAACTTAAACTTCAACTACTGGTAGAAACTTAAACTTCAACTACTGGTAGAAACTTAAACTTCAACTACTGGTAGAAACTTAAACTTCAACTACTGGTAGAAACTTAAACTTCAACTACTGGTAGAAACTTAAACTTCAACTACTGGTAGAAACTTAAACTTCAACTACTGGTAGAAACTTAAACTTCAACTACTGGTAGAAACTTAAACTTTAACTACTGGTAGAAACTTAAACTTCAACTACTGGTAGAAACTTAAACTTCAACTACTAGTAGAAACTTAAACTTCAACTACTGGTAGAAACTTAAACTTCACCTACTGGTAGAAACTTAAACTTCAACTACTGGTAGAAACTTAAACTTCAACTACTGGTAGAAACTTAAACTTCAACTACTGGTAGAAACTTAAACTTCAACTACTGGTAGAAACTTAAACTTCAACTACTGGTAGAAACTTAAACTTCAACTACTGGTAGAAACTTAAACTTCAACTACTGGTAGAAACTTAAACTTCAACTACTGGTAGAAACTTAAACTTCAACTACTGGTAGAAACTTAAACTTCAACTACTGGTAGAAACTTAAACTTCACCTACTGGTAGAAACTTAAACTTCAACTACTGGTAGAAACTTAAACTTCAACTACTGGTAGAAACTTAAACTTCAACTACTGGTAGAAACTTAAACTTCAACTACTGGTAGAAACTTAAACTTCAACTACTGGTAGAAACTTAAACTTCAACTACTGGTAGAAACTTAAACTTCAACTACTGGTAGAAACTTAAACTTCAACTACTGGTAGAAACTTAAACTTCAACTACTGGTAGAAACTTAAACTTCAACTACTGGTAGAAACTTAAACTTCAACTACTGGTAGAAACTTAAACTTCAACTACTGGTAGAAACTTAAACTTCAACTACTGGTAGAAACTTAAACTTCAACTACTGGTAGAAACTTAAACTTCAACTACTGGTAGAAACTTAAACTTCAACTACTGGTAGAAACTTAAACTTCAACTACTGGTAGAAACTTAAACTTCAACTACTGGTAGAAACTTAAACTTCAACTACTGGTAGAAACTTAAACTTCAACTACTGGTAGAAACTTAAACTTCAACTACTGGTAGAAACTTAAACTTCAACTACTGGTAGAAACTTAAACTTCAACTACTGGTAGAAACTTAAACTTCAACTACTGGTAGAAACTTAAACTTCAACTACTGGTAGAAACTTAAACTTCAACTACTGGTAGAAACTTAAACTTCAACTACTGGTAGAAACTTAAACTTCAACTACTGGTAGAAACTTAAACTTCAACTACTGGTAGAAACTTAAACTTCAACTACTGGTAGAAACTTAAACTTCAACTACTGGTAGAAACTTAAACTTCAACTACTAGTAGAAACTTAAACTTCAACTACTGGTAGAAACTTAAACTTCACCTACTGGTAGAAACTTAAATTTCAACTACTGGTAGAAACTTAAACTTCAACTACTGGTAGAAACTTAAACTTCAACTACTGGTAGAAACTTAAACTTCAACTACTGGTAGAAACTTAAACTTCAACTACTGGTAGAAACTTAAACTTCAACTACTGGTAGAAACTTAAACTTCAACTACTGGTAGAAACTTAAACTTCAACTACTGGTAGAAACTTAAACTTCAACTACTGGTAGAAACTTAAACTTCAACTACTGGTAGAAACTTAAACTTCAACTACTGGTAGAAACTTAAACTTCAACTACTGGTAGAAACTTAAACTTCAACTACTGGTAGAAACTTAAACTTCAACTACTGGTAGAAACTTAAACTTCGACTACTGGTAGAAACTTAAACTTCAACTACTGGTAGAAACTTAAACTTCAACTACTGGTAGAAACTTAAACTTCAACTACTGGTAGAAACTTAAACTTCAACTACTGGTAGAAACTTAAACTTCAACTACTGGTAGAAACTTAAACTTCAACTACTGGTAGAAACTTAAACTTCAACTACTGGTAGAAACTTAAACTTCAACTACTGGTAGAAACTTAAACTTCAACTACTGGTAGAAACTTAAACTTCAACTACTGGTAGAAACTTAAACTTCAACTACTGGTAGAAACTTAAACTTCAACTACTGGTAGAAACTTAAACTTCAACTACTGGTAGAAACTTAAACTTCAACTACTGGTAGAAACTTAAACTTCAACTACTGGTAGAAACTTAAACTTCAACTACTGGTAGAAACTTAAACTTCAACTACTGGTAGAAACTTAAACTTCAACTACTGGTAGAAACTTAAACTTCAACTACTGGTAGAAACTTAAACTTCAACTACTGGTAGAAACTTAAACTTCAACTACTGGTAGAAACTTAAACTTCAACTACTGGTAGAAACTTAAACTTCAACTACTGGTAGAAACTTAAACTTCAACTACTGGTAGAAACTTAAACTTCAACTACTGGTAGAAACTTAAACTTCAACTACTGGTAGAAACTTAAACTTCAACTACTGGTAGAAACTTAAACTTCAACTACTGGTAGAAACTTAAACTTCAACTACTGGTAGAAACTTAAACTTCAACTACTGGTAGAAACTTAAACTTCAACTACTGGTAGAAACTTAAACTTCAACTACTGGTAGAAACTTAAACTTCAACTACTGGTAGAAACTTAAACTTCAACTACTGGTAGAAACTTAAACTTCAACTACTGGTAGAAACTTAAACTTCAACTACTGGTAGAAACTTAAACTTCAACTACTGGTAGAAACTTAAACTTCAACTACTAGTAGAAACTTAAACTTCAACTACTGGTAGAAACTTAAACTTCACCTACTGGTAGAAACTTAAATTTCAACTACTGGTAGAAACTTAAACTTCAACTACTGGTAGAAACTTAAACTTCAACTACTGGTAGAAACTTAAACTTCAACTACTGGTAGAAACTTAAACTTCAACTACTGGTAGAAACTTAAACTTCAACTACTGGTAGAAACTTAAACTTCAACTACTGGTAGAAACTTAAACTTCAACTACTGGTAGAAACTTAAACTTCAACTACTGGTAGAAACTTAAACTTCAACTACTGGTAGAAACTTAAACTTCAACTACTGGTAGAAACTTAAACTTCAACTACTGGTAGAAACTTAAACTTCAACTACTGGTAGAAACTTAAACTTCAACTACTGGTAGAAACTTAAACTTCGACTACTGGTAGAAACTTAAACTTCAACTACTGGTAGAAACTTAAACTTCAACTACTGGTAGAAACTTAAACTTCAACTACTGGTAGAAACTTAAACTTCAACTACTGGTAGAAACTTAAACTTCAACTACTGGTAGAAACTTAAACTTCAACTACTGGTAGAAACTTAAACTTCAACTACTGGTAGAAACTT